TATATATATATATATATATATATGTGTATATATATGTGCTCCTCTATTTTATAGAAAAGGACACTTTGAGAGGGTTGGGAATATTGGAAGATTGCCTTCTGGACATTACCTCAGAAAATGTTTTGGGAATTGTCTAAATAGAAAAAGGCTTCAGGGTTCCCCCACAACTTTCTGCAAATTTGTGACCGGCTCAGTAATTTACTAGAAAAGCTAGATGTTTAAACTAGGGCTAGAGGTTCCTATGTTTTTATGAAAAGTTCAAATTGTTTGTCAGCTCTGGTAATAGCTGAACAAGTAGCATACATTCATTTTTTTATATTTTTAAGATGAATCGACTTATCAAACTTTATCAGAAATGTATCTACTATGTGCACCAGTTAAGTAAACTTTATATAAAACCGAAGCTCAGCTTCATTGCTTTGCAACAGTGTTCATAATCCTTAAAATGCTACATGAAAATGTCTCACAAAAGGTAGAAGTCAAACATTAGTCTATTTTGCTGGTGTTTTATTTAGTAGACCAATCCATGGTAATAAATTTAACACATGATTTAAATTTTTTTTTTACCTATATATAGATATAGATATGGCAAGTAGAGCATGCTTGTGTATTTAGCAGCCTTTCTTCTTATACCTTTAATCCAATACTTGGTGGCCAGCATTCTGCAACCTTTACGCTTTTCTCTAATTTAACACATCTACATGAAGACATCAAGGTCATTATAAGGATTCAGTTGAACTAACTGCATGCTGGGGAGGTCAATCAGCTATTTGAAACAGCTTTGTTGGCCCAGGGACAGATTTATCTGTCCTGCATTTTTTAGAAGTTTCTCCTCTTTTAACATACCTGATTTAACTGTCAGAAGCAAAAGTCTGTTAATCATAAATTAATGGAAATCGGATATATTTGAGCAGAGACAGATCTAAAACACACAGAACACCAGCCCTGATCTAGTAGAATTTAACTTTAAGTCACTTGTAAAACTAGTAAATCTGGGCTGCTGTGTGAAGCCCTCAGAGGTTTGTCAGACAACACTAGTGAATAAACACCATCATTTACGGTAAGAAACACAGCTCAGGGGTAAGGTTTTGAGAAGTTTTACAGCAGGGTTATAAAGATTATTGTATGACTGAAAAACTTCCACAAAATGGTCCAGAAAAGCCTGTTGGGTAGATAAGGGAAGCAGCCAAGAGACCAATGTTAAACCTGGAGGAGATCAGTTCAGTTTAGGGCATAGGAGATGGAATAATAAGAGGTTCTCTGATCAGGCACGATAAAAATATAAAATTTCAGTCAACATGCAAAGCACTGTGTGTGAAAGAAAAATCTCTGCTCCACATCACCTAAATGTGTGTTGTTCTTTTATATAAAATAATCCCACGAAATATATAAATATTTGTGAATTTGAGATGATGAAAGGATGAAAAAGTGGAATGCCTTTGCAAACACTGCAATAGCAATTCCTAATTGTTGGTTTTACTGTGGGTAAGTATTCAGTACGCTATAGGCTTTTTTTCAATATATGCAACATACAGTAATAAATGCACGTTTTACAGGTATACTTGTTTAAGAATGCAAAGTAATATGTCTGATTATTTGACAATTTTCTAGAATTTCAAAAAAGGCTCTTATGTTTAGATAGGATGAGTTCTTATGTTGCAGTATCGTGATCATCATGATAGCTTTAATTAAAGTTTCATCCAGTGCTTGTGTGTATGAGATTCTGACCTCTCCTTCTTCTGTTAACATTCCTCTCACCACAGCCCGGGTGTGTGACAACGAACTCCTGCGTTGCCAAAATGGCGGGGAGTGTGTGAACAACCGCTGTAGCTGCCCCCCCTCCTACACAGGCCTGCTGTGCGAGAAGCCCCGCTGTGAGTCCGAGCTGGGGGGTTGCAAGGGGCCCGATTCAGGCCAGGCTCCCCTGAAGCCTCCTTCACTCTACAGTTTGCTGACACTACTGCTGCTGGGTGCCGCATTGCTGAGAGCCCCCTGCTGGTCCGCCATGCTCTGAAGGGACCTATTCCTGAGTGGGAGCGACTCTCACTCCCACCACCTTCACCTTAGCCCTCCCAAACCTTTCCTTACAGATAATCTACAACCATTTTTTTAGAAAAAGAAAAATCATTAGCTTTCTGGACTGTGACGCACTGAGCTTCTCGCTGCCAGACTCGGTGCTGACAATGACGAGAATGTGCCAGACTAAAGCAAAAACTTTTAATTTAATTTCAAAGAATATATTAAAGTAAAGAGTATACATCTAAAATAAAAAGATATTATTAAAAGTATGAATAACTGAGTATTTGCCTGATAAATCAAAGAACGGTGAGTCCCCCCCTTTCCCTCTCTAAGCCATACCAGGTTCATGAGATCCTTCCAGTGTGAGGAGGAATAACTCAACATGACAGACTTGTTCACTTCCTTTCTTATTGCCACGGCAATAACAGCTGCAGCCAATCAGCTCTCGCACAAGCCGACGGTGGCCCGTGGATCCCAGCCTCCCCCCCTTAGGGACGCTTGTGCAAGGAAATGTTTGCTGGACTGGCGACGATGAAGAATATGAATAAGAGAAAAAAAACCACCATGCTGAGGAGCGAGGAAGACCGTCCTGAGAGACGAACTGTTACACTTCAAGGCAATGACAAACAGAAAGAGGTGAACAAAAGCAACAAAAAAACAGAACATTCTTTGCTGTCATTGGATTCTGGATAGAAGGAAATCTGTCTGGATTACCTATTTGTGACACAAGAACTTTGCTCCTGTTAACCCAAACATGCCACACCTTCACAGGTTTTCTGTCGCGTCATTCCTCCTGTTCAGCCCCTGTACCTCAAATCCCCCCAACCCACCCACTCCTGCCACGCTGCCACTGACCTGTGCATTCGTGAACGTTACTCTGTAAACCCTTGTTGGCTGAAAGATTCTTTTGTCCAATGTTAGTGATGCACATGTGTAAGAAGCTTCCCCGGCCCCCTCTCACCCCTTCCTCTACTTCCAAAAAGATAATCCAGTAAAGCTGTCCGACTCCTCTTCTGTCTTACAGCCACCTTGCTCCCTGCAATCGTGGACAGAGGGTAATTTGTACCCTAAGCAGACAAGAAGCGCATAGAGAACCATCAGTGTATTTGCAAAGTTTTTTTTTTCCTCGACAGAACAAAAAAAAAGAGTCATGTAGTCCTTTTTGTATCTCTGCCAAACTGTGATTGAAAAAAGGCAACCTTTAACGTATCTATTTAAGACATCCAAATGCAGAAGCAAGGCTCTTCTGCTCTTTTTATTTCCTTTTTTTTAATTGATCATTATTATTTTTTTTTTTTAGTTGTGCAGTTGATTTCCCTTTGTATTGGCAATGTGCTGGCATCAAAAAAATATTAGTTTACATATAAAGTATTAATAAAGTGTATTAAAATCCCACCAAAGGACATTCTAAATGTTTTGTTCTTGCTTTAACACTTGAAGATTTAAGTGAATAAAAGTCTTAAACAAAGCTGTCTTGAGCATTCATGAGTCAGTTTTCATTGTTTACTTTCAATTATCTAAAATGTCGCTTTTATTGGTTTATATTATATAATTGTTCCTCTTTTGGTAGAAATATTCCCTGTTTTAGATTATTGACTACTTAAGGTTAGCAGGGTTCTGAAATATTAACATAACGGGGGCTATGTCGACATTTGCAGCATCTTATAAGTATTGTTCTCAATCTCATTATAATTTTGTAATGTAATTGTTTATATGACTTGTATATAAAGTGTACTCTTATAAATTGTTACACTTCAAAATCTCTGACAAACAGCTTTACAAAAGGCTGGTTACAGTAACTACTGGTATTTTTCAAAATGAGTTATCAATATATTTAGAGTGAACATTTTAGATCAAAGTGCAAAAATCTAAAATGAACCACTGCTTATAATTACAAATTAAATATTTATTAAGAATTATTTTTTTCCTCTCTTTTCATAATTGGGAAAATATATTAACACAGCTAAAAAGAATTACGTGAAACTGAACCTCTAGCAGCATGAAATAAGAAAATAGGCTTAAAAAAATTCCCAAAGTTCTCAGAAAATGACGCATCCAGCCCAGATCTAGAGAAATTAACAAACAGGAGGGAAAATATCTGTTAATGTTTACTGGACTCTAAAGGGTTTTTAAAGCCTTGGAACTTGAAGGGGTTCTCCTTTAAAATCTATTTAAACATCAAAAAGACTCAGTGTGTGGGTTAGTTCAATAGGTATGCTACAGGCACAGCTAACCTAACTACTGTTTAAATATCACACAAAAGATTTCCATTACTTTGATGAGTTTCTAAGTTCAGTATATATAACAAGGTTTTAAGCCATTTAATTAGATTTTGATTCCATAATAATCCTTGGATGACATTCAGTTTGAATTGATGCAGTGGAGATTTTCTCATTGTGTGTTGCCTCTGCTAGGTCACCCATGCTTCCACCTGTTCCTAATGCTGTCAGTATGAGAACAAATAATCCAAAAAAATTATTTGCTTAACTACTAGATGACTTTAAAGCGCTAGCACAGTTCGCTAGTGTTGATGAAAGTACCTGTTTGTGTAAAACATCGTCTGGGAAGTTTCACCTTCTTCACCTTCACCTTCTTCCTAAGTATTAGGGCCAGTCTAGAGATTTTTTTTTTTTTCCAATATTCAAGTAATAAGATTATGAGAATAAAGTAATAAAATTACAAAAATAAAGTCCTAAAATTACAAAAATAAAGACGTAACATTACAAGAATAAAGTCTTAAAATCATGAGAATAAGTCATAAAATTTCAAGAATAAAGTTGCAACATTATGAGAATAAAGTCCTAATGTTGCAAGAATAAAGTTGTATTTTATGACAACTCTTACAAGAAGCACTTTTTTCCCTGAAATGAGGAATGTCGAGCTTCATGTGAAGTTATACTTTGACATCGGTTTGACAAATAAGGAAATATTAAGTCTTTTAGCACACCAGCATTAAATCAGGCGGTTTGTCAAAGCGGACTGAGGTTGCTGTTCGGGGGTTCTGTTCAGCCGTCACATGCTGGTCGGAGCTTGAAGCCTTCTGTCTGAAACGGGTTGTGGTGTGATGACTTCATTCTCATAATTTTTCAACTTTATTCTTGTAATATTATGACTTTATTCTCAAAATAAAAAAAAATAAAAATTCTCTAGCCTGGCCCTAACACTCCATTGTATCTTCCATATCATGCCCCACTGGAGAGTATTTTCTGTACATGATATTTTACTTCACATCTTTGTTAAAAAAAATTTTCTCAGGTTTCCAATTTTGAATATTTTACGAGTGCTTTAGTCGGTGTAACATTGCTTCTTAAAACAACATTGTGTCAAAAACAAGCATTTCAAAAGAAGATGTGAGAGGTTAGCTATCTAACCTCTAAGAGTATTTTTGACAAGATATTACACGGTAGAAATTTTTTTTCTTAACATCCTTGCCATGATCAGTTATATAGGGTTTTATTTGTGACAGTGTAACAGTGAATCAGTTTACATAATATAACAAATCCCTTTTTTTTGTCTTGTTTCTTAAACACAATAACAAATCCTGGAGCAGAAACATTATTTCAAGACTTATTTTCAGATATATATTCCTAAAAGATGTGGAAAAAAATCACAATATTGTGATGCGAAAAAACTCACAATTACCATCAATTATCATTCACTTATTCCACCGTATTTGTGTCTCTGCATTAAAATCAATACTACTAAAAATCTAAGGCTTTGATTATTTTTCAGGTTAACAGTGGTATTAATGATAGTAAGCTATTAAAAAAGTCAGAATTTATTTATTTTTTAGAGGTTATCACTATCTGACTGTCACAGCAGTGCATGCCATCTAGTATTTATGTCTTTTATGCTTCCATCTGTACTTGCAGACCAACGTGAATCTCATGCTAATTATTCATTGATAAGTGACAGCAATTCCAATGATTATTTATGTGCATAGCCTATTAAAAACAAAACATTAATCTTGTTTGTCTATAATATGGATAGTTTTTTTCCTTCATTATCTTTTGCATGTCTGGCACAGACTGTAGAAACTCAGCATTCACAAAAGTTTTTTTTACGAACTGCTTTAAAAATGACAGCATAGGTTTTCATATAGTTAAATGCAGATTTTTTAATGATTTTTTTTTTTATTGACACCAGGTAGCTTAATTTGGTTTAGCTAATAGCCTTCCTGAACACTTCATATTTGGTGAGATAATGGCAATAAAGTTTAAAAATGGCAACACAGTTCAATTTATTAGGCTTTATGGAGGATAGAGTAACAGTGCTCTCCAAAGCCCACCTTTTGCTGCACACTGCTGAACAGCTGGCTGAAAAAGATTCCCAACAGTCTACAACGTTTTCATCGCTATGAAAACAGACAAATTCTGAAGTCTGGAAATGTTGCCGAAGCTAACAACATATATAATCATGGTACGGAAACTAAAGGCATCAATACTTTCCATTCTTCTTAAGGTAATGGTTTCAAAAATACAACCTAAGATGAAGACACTGCATAAAACATGACTGGATATGGAATACAGGTGCATTAAAGAATAATAGAATGTCATGAAGTTCCTATTTTTGTTTGTGTCTCATTTTTGGAAACTGAAACTCATTTATTATATAAATTATTTACACAAAAATAAAATAGCTGAGGGTTTTGCAGTAGCAGCCTTTCAAAATGGCCCTTCCCAGTCAACCGCTAGCTGAATGGCAGCCCACTTTCATACAACTCCCAGTAAAATCCCCTCCAACTTCCAGTCACAGGAGCGACCCCCCTCTTCTCCTGGGCGTGCATATTTTATTACTTTGACTCCACCCGTTCACTGAATTACAGGGTCTGACCAGGAGATGACACTTCTCTTTAGATTTTAATGTCCACAAATCATGACAGAAAGAATAATTTAGTATAAAGATTGATGCTTAAATGGGAATTGTAGGGGACCAGCCAAGGACCCATCAAGGATAGTGGGGAAATTTTGAATTTCCCCACTTTATTTGTAAACCCACTGATCCTCGCCTAAATATAATATAAGCAATGAGGACAGTCATTCAAACCCTCCATAAAGAGTGTAAATTACAAAAGATCAAGTTAAAAGGAAAAAAGTGGTAAAAAAGGTAAACTAGCAATTAAGACAACTATAGCCTTGAAAATGAATTTTGCAGACTATGTGTGGACTTCATCAGTTTAGAATAAAGAAATGCTTAAAAACTGACTTTAGAAATACTTATACAGTACGTACATAGAAACCCAAATGCACATATAGTACCAAACTAAGCCTGCTAAAAAAAAAAAATTTTCATCAAATGAAATATGACATTTTATTTTGTGCCCATAAATTTTTAATTGTCTGAATAAACTAAAATGTAAAACCTGTTAAAATACTTATGTGCTCATTGTAGAGAGAATAGATTGACAGGCCTACACAGCAACATAAAGTTGTGCCTAATTAGACCAACTAAGATGGATCATCCCTCTTGTTAGATTGCATTTTAAATTATTTATGAAACAAAGAAACAGCCACGCAAAAGAACCAACAGCATTCCCATCTCAGAGCGACCTCCGAGGGCAGACATCAGCTGTATGAACCAAATCACCACCTTTTCCAGCTGAAAGAGAAGGAGGGCTTACAGCCTGGAGCAAAAGCCCAAATTGTTTCCAAGAAGGTACAGTAAAAGTCATCTGACCCGCATCTACAGTAAGAGGCTCTATTCTCTGTTCCCTGGAGATTTCCCCTTTAATTTGATCGTTTGCTGTTTGTTTGTCTCACCTTTTTTTTTTCTCAATTAATCTTTAAAATGTGTTGATGTAATGGCTGATTAAATATTATAATCTCAGAGCCAATATCCTTATTCCCAGTTTAAATATTTATTCTGGTATTAAATGTTTTACTGAAATTCAGCCTTGCTGACAAAGAGAATTTTCTCTTCAGACGGATTTTTTTTTATATTTAAGACTTGATCGTAGCTAGAAATGTTAATTTAATAAGAATGATATGAATGTCTCTGCAGATTTAGAGGCCTTTAGGCTACAGCACTGCAGAGCTGGCAGGGCAGTCCAAGTTGCTTTTGTCGTCACCTTCATCACATCTGCATACTGTTAGATCTCCTTTCTCATTTTAGTCTGAGCTAATGACAGACAACATTTAAGTTTGGCATTGTTACTTTTTAGTCCAAAAGGAAAATGTATCTTAGATAGTGGCATGAGGAGAGACTCTGAGTCTATGTGGTTGAACTCATTTTGATTTCCCCCTTTATCCTTAAAAATACTCTCACATAAAATATTTTCATGGTTATCAACATTGCCTCATTTTTTTCTTCTATCACACTTTTACTTCCTCACATTTTTCCATTAAAGTAGTTGCAAATTTTCATTTTCTCAAACAATTATCTTTTGTTGCTTACGCACCTTGTGGAGAGTGTCCAGATGTTTTTCTCAAATATGTA